TCCACTGGTGTCTCTTTTAGGAATAGTTGTATTTATTGTATTAATATATATGTTTTTGGGAGGAGATTTCCACTGAACTACTCACGCTGCCATCTTCCCGTGATCCTCCATCAATACATTTTAAGTGTATAATTATATTTTAGGCTAAGTATGTCCCAAATTTGGTATTTGGGACACACTTACACTAATTAAAAGTATTCATTGTTTATCTGAAATTAAAATTTAATTGAGCATGCTGCTGTTTCTTCTTCTAGAGTTGGCAACCCCATGTGGTGAGACCCATCATTGCAGACTGCACCATCTCACAGCTGTACAGCCCTCATGGATGAAATGCGATTCGTGCATGCATCTATTCTGCTCCTGAGGGGCTTGGGCTGTGCAATGCCCCATCTTTAAGCACCTGTCCTGGGGACCATGTGTGCATTTTTGCAAGTCCCCACATGGAGGGGCGCTGCTGAGTGTCGGTGAGAAGTGTGTACCCACGGACAGCCCACCAGCATCACGACAGTTCTGTCTGCCCCACATGCATACTAACATTTGGCATCTCTCATGTTCAGTTGCTTTAGCTGCTGACTAATGAAGTCCCACCCAGCTTACATGCTTATCAGCCCTTAGACATCCTCTCTGTAAACTGACTTTCCAAGTCTTTCGCCAATTTGTAATTGTTATTTCTTTTTCTTACTGATCGGTAGTGCTTTACGTGTCTGGGGATTGAGTTATCTGTCGCATACACACTACGACTCTGGGGTTTACCTTTTCACTTTCTCAGTGGTATCTTTTGATGAACCCAAGTTCTTAGTTTCAATAAAGTTCAAAAGAATCACATTTTTAAATTTATGGTCAGTGCTTTTATTGCCTGCTTCAAGACCGCAAAGATAGTCTCCTTGACTTTCTCCTCTGAAAGCTTTATAACTTCACATTTAACATTTGTATCTCTCTGGAGTTGATTTTTGTATATGATTGTGGTAAGTATCCACATTTTTCCTCACATGGGTATTTATTTATTGGCTCAGCCTACTTATTGGGAAAGAATAATCCTCACTGTTCTGCAACGTCTCCTTTGTTGTAAAGCAGGGAAGCACATATGTGTTGGTTTGTTTCCAGACTCTGTTCTGCTGAGTGGGTCAGAAGTCCATCCTTGCCACATAGCACTGCCAGCATTACTCTAGCATTACCATAGGATGTGTCTTCAGCTGTGCTTTTTTTCCATGAAGCCCATGCAGCACAAATGCAGATATACATCCACAGGCATGGTGACGCGAGCACCATTTGGGGAAACCACCCAAAACCCATCTAGGGTAGAATAGGTACACATGTCCTTCTCTGTTCCTTTTTTCCAGTGATCATCTTCTTGGCTATTCTAGGTCTCTTGCATTTCTATTTTAGAATTCATCAATTATTGCAAAAAAAAAAGACAAAAACCTCCAGAGATTTTGATTGCACTGAAATCATAGATTAATTTAAGAATAACTGGTATTTTCACAATATTAAGTTTTCCACTCCTTAATAAGGAATAGCTTCTAGCTATCTAAGTCTTTAAAATTTGATGTTAATAACATTTCACAACTGTCAGTGGAGGTCTCAGACATCATCAGATTTAGGCTTAAATAGGTGATATTTACTGACATTATTGTAGACATTTTTTATCATATACTATGTATATCAATATATATGTATATCAATACATATAATATGAAATTTACCATCTTAGCCATTTTTAACTGACAATTCAGCAGTATTAAATATATACACATTGCTATGCAACCATTCTCACTATCTCTTACAAGAAAACGGAAACTGCCGCATTTAACACTCACTCCTCATCCTCCCCTCCATCAGCCCTTCCCCCACCATCTACTTCCTGTTTCTATGATGTCGACTATTCTAGGAACTTCATATAATTTGAATCACACATTGTATTTTTGTGTCCATCTTATTTCACTCAGCATAATGTCCTTAAGGTCCATCTGGGTTGTAACATGTGTCAGAATCTCCTTCCTTTTTAAGGCTGAATAACATTTCATTGTATGGATGGACATTTTGCCCAACAATGGACACTTGGGGTGCTTCCACAATTTAGCTGTTGTGAATAATGCTGCTGTAAACATGGGTCTGCAAATCTCTCTTTGAAACACTACTTTGCATTATTTTGGGTTTGTACCCAGATGTGGAATTGTGGGACCTATTTTATTTTTAGGAACCTCAAGAAATACTATTTCTACAGCAGCTGCACCATCTTACATTCCCAGCAATAGTGCACAGGTCCCAATATCCCCACTTCCTTGTCAACACTTATTTTCTACTTTCTTGATGGCAGCTGTACTCATGGGTGTGAGATGGGATCGCATTGTGGGTTTGATTTGCATTTCCCTAACAATTAGGGATACTGAGAATCCTTTTATGTGCTTTTGACCATTCACACATCTTCACCGCAGAACTATCTATGCAAGTCCTTTGCCCATTTGAATTGGGTTGTTTTACTGTTGTTCGGTTTTAGAGTTCTCCATATATTATGGATATTTATCTCTTATCAGATACACTATACACAACCTGTGAATTGCCTCTTTACTTTTGTTATCTCTGTCTTTGGTGTCATACCCAAGAAATCATTTCCAAATGCAATGTCATGAAGCTTTTGTCCTGTTTTATCTTCTAAGAGTTTTATTGTTCTAGGTCTTACATTTTGGCCCTTGATCCATTTTGAGTTAATTTTCGTAAATGGTGTAGGTGAGGGTCCAAGTTCACAAGCATATGTGTATATGTATGTATATTTTATCAGATTAAGGCAATGTCCTTCTATTCCTAATTTGTTAAGAGGTGTTTCCATCATTAAAAAGGTGTTAAATTTTTCAAATTATTTTTCTATAAATTTCAAAATGATTTGTTTTTCTTTCTCTTTTGGAAGTTAACTGACTTCATTTTCAAGTGTTGAGCCACGCCATGTATATTTCAAACTCCTTAAGACATTACAATCATTATTCCGCACAGTCCATAATATTAATGTACATCGAGTTCTTCACTCTCTCTTGCGTCTCCACATTTCTGTGATATTTGTCCTTTTCCTAAAGAACTCAAATTTGTTTTATGTGCAGGCTACTGAGAACAAAATCATTCAGCACTATGTTTCTGAATAATTCATTATTTCACTTCATTTCTGAAGGATATTTTGCTGGTTATGAAATTCTAGGTGACAGCTGTTTTCCTTTAGTATTTTAAATGTATGTCATTTCATTGCCTTCGGGCTTCCATTGTTTTTGTTTGTGTTTTAGGAGACAGATATCAATCTTATATTCTTTTTAAAGTAATATGTCATTTCTCCCTGGCTACGCCTAAGCTTTTCTCTTTGTTTTCAGCAATGACACATTTCAGTATGTCTTGTAGTTTTCTCGAGGCTCCTGTATCTGCAGAGATTTTCCTCAGTTTTAGAAAGTTCTTGGCCATCATCTCTTTGGATGTTGCTTCTGCCCATGTTCTCTATTCCTTTAGTATGACTCCAACTTGAGCATTAGACATTTGAGTGTCACGTGTCTCACGCTCTAGACTGTTCTCTTGCCCGTGTTTCTGGCCCCTGCCATCTCTCCCCGCCCCGACTCCAAGCACTGGCCCTCCCCCAAGGGATTCCCATCTCCCCCAGCACCCTGCCCCTCCCTGCCTGGGCCCAGCATCCACCATCACCTGTCCTCATTCATATCTCCTCTCCCAGGGAGGGCAGAGGCCATGGCCTCTGGGTCCAGGGTCCCATCCTACCCAAGACACTCAAGGCTGGGCCCAGGCGAGAGGGAGCACCGAGCAGCCCTCCATCAGATGAACTGCAGTCTGGACTGAGCACTCCATCACAGGGCCCCAGGGCCACTGACTCCCCAAGGACACCCCACTGGGTCACTCTTCATTGTCTGGATTCACGGCACCTTTGGCTTCTCACGGAGCAAAGGGCAGCTTGGAACAGGACGCTTTCCTGGCTGCCTGAAGGGGTGGGTGCCAGCAAAGGAGGTCAGCCCCAGGCTGTCTGTCCTGGGCTGTCTGTGCCCGGGGCTGCCCTGTGCTAGGCAGTCCTGCCGGACCCAGGAAGGGCGTCACAAGGGTCTATAAAGTCACTGGCTTGATCAACGTCCAGAAAGGGGCGCTTCCAGAGACCAGAGGCCATGAGAGAAAGGACTTTGGTGCCTGAGGCCACAGAGCCAAGGAAGTACTCAAGAGGGCATGCACCCACAGCCCCCCACCACCTCTTCCCTCCCAGGAGGCCTAGCTGGGCCCTGCTGGCTCAAGAAGGCCACCCAGTGATGGCTCCCCACCATGTGAAGTAGGGTTTGGGAAAGGGCCCAAGGAGGAGAGGGCTGGCCTGAGGACCTGCCCCTCGAGGCCAAGGGAAGCCCCTCAGGGCAGAACACAGGAGCCCATAGCAGCTACCACCAAGCCCACGGGACAGCACAGATGGGGCCCAGGGACCACTGGGGGCCAGGACAAGCCACAGTACAGGGACGTGGGGCATTCAAGAGGCCATGACACTTCACCCCTTGAACTGGCCAAAGAACTACTAAGAACCTCCAGTGGGGTAGCTGGGGCACCTGTGAGCAAGCACCCGTCTCAGCCTGTGTGGGGATGGCTGGCCTGGAGGACAGCCCCCTACGCAGATGGCGTGTCCCCAGGAGGATACCCTGTGTCACCCTGGTTCCCTGGCCTCTCCTGTGAAACGGGTCCCATCCATCCACAGACTCAAAGAGCCCAGTGCAGGGCCCCTGGCTAGGGCAGCTGCTGTCCCAATATCGGACACTCATGCCAAAGGTCTTCACACTACTGGCCAAGAGCAAAGAGCCTGGTTCAGGGGAGAGAAGGGCTGGGGCTTCAAAAGGGGCTCCAGACATAAACCAATGACTGAGGACAAGGACAAGGTCCCAGCACTGCTGACTTGAGCAGGAGAGGGTGAATAACGGCCCCGCCCATCCCCACGGGAAGGAGGCTCGGCCGAGGACTCCGCGGCCTCCCCTCCGCTGGCCCCCCACCTTATTTTCCGCAGCAGCGTGTGGAAAGGCCGGAACAGCTCGGACATGTCTTCCGCCTTGCGGTCCAAATTCAGAGGTCCATCCGCGTAGACCACGAGCCCACTGCATTCAAGACACAAAAGCCAGCGTGGCATCAGGCTCCGTGGCTGCCTGGGCGACCCCAGACCACGCCCAGGGACCTTGCGCCCCGTGAAGCTCAGCACTCACGCGTGCTTTGTCCCTTGTGATCAAATCTTAAGACAGTGAGAACTGTTACTCAGACTCAGACGTCACCATCTTCAAACTTGATCAGCTTGCACTCATTTGAGGGAGCTTAAAATAATCATAAAAAAGTATCTGCACACATCCCTGCTGCAGTCAGATAAACCAGCATCATGATTTGCTACTAAAATCTACGTCCTTGAAAATGGAAAAACTAGATTTGGGTTTGTTTAAACACAAATGTGAAGGATGGTGAGAACTAGAGCTGCAAATTCCAAAGTGGGAGAGATGTCAGAGGTGAGAACTGTGTCCTGCCCGCTGGTGACCCCGAGCCTCTGGCGCTGGGGGTGTCAGGGACACCCTGCACAAGAGGGGGACTTCTCATGCATGTGCCCTCCAGGCTGCCCTCCCAGCCTCCCACGGTTCTCTCAGAGCCATCCACACAGGTCCCTGTCCACTCCCTGAAGTCCAGGTGCTGCCCGAGTCTAACACGCTGACCACTGTCTCTCCTGGTTCCCCGAGCCACAGCAGACTGTGACAAGCCAGTGCCACCCCTCCCTGCCCAGCCCACTCCAGAATCCCGGGGCCCTCACAAGCCATGTGCTCATGGCTCTCCTGGCTTTGCCCGGGCTGCCCCAAACCCGCCTTTCCCTCCCAGAGGTCTGGCCCTCCCTCCATCATCCTTCAAGATGGGAGGCAGCCTCCTGCCACCCCCAGGCAGGACAGACCCTCTCTCTGGAGCATCCCTGTGCCTTGAGCGCACTCCTTCCATTGGATTGGGGCCCTGGGCCCATCTGACTCTGCTTAGATGTCACCTCCAGACCATCTCCCGTTCCACAGGCAGCACGACATTCACCCGTGGCAATCTCACCACACACAGCACACAGCCTTGCCCAGCTCCAGGCACGCACCATCACCCACGTCCAGACCTGCCTCTCTGAGCGCACACCCTTCCAGGGGACCTTCCCTGGGTGTCTCTCCTGGGACCCCCATCTGAGCACACCTTGGGTGCCCAGCGAATGTCCACCTGTCCCCTTGCTTCCCCTCAGAGCAAAGATGAGGCCCTTGAGGGTTTGTCTGTGGAAACAGAGAGCTGCCTGCATGTCTCTGCAAGTGAATGGGGACCTGGGGTCTGCTCACCACATCCAACTCAGAGTCCATTAGTTCAAGAACGCCTCCACCGTCAATGGGAAAAACTGGTAAAACTGAATGAAGGGGTTATTCTTCCCTTTAAAAGGTTGGGTTTCTTGTGCAAAAAGCTTCAAAAGTCACAGGAAAAAACATGGGCTACACAGCCTCCCAGGGAGGCCAGGCCACAAGCTGTAGCTGAGGGTCCCTAGGCAGGAGGGTTGGGGTTACGACAAGGGCCTGCATCCAGCATGAGGGAGAAGGGCAGAGGCTTCTGTCCTGTCCTGTCTGCTCTAGACATCATTCATGAGCTGATGGTTCTGGTTAAATTAATAGTGTTTGGGGCACAATTTCCCCAGATGGAAACTTAATTTTGTGGATAGATCCGGTGGTCTCAGCACAAAGGCAGAGTGAAAGTGGGCAGAAAGGGGTAGGTTTAGTGAACCCCTTCTCCGTGGATAATCCCTTCCTGGCAATCTCTTCTTTCAGAAAGCAGTGAAGGGAGCCAGGCAGGGAGGTACGGTGGCCCCTCTCCTGGGTCCTGGGAAGGTCACCAGCCGCCCCATCAGTGCTGTGAGCACTGTATCCGTGGTTGGCCGTGGCTTGTCTGGAGTCTCAGAAAAGAATCCGTTAATTAGGAGGGCTCTAGGCACAGACCTCCAAGGCTGCCATGCCAACCTCGTGGGAGGTCAGGGGACCTGAGGACTTTGCCCAGCTTTGTCCCAGAATCCAGTGGCGCTCGGCATGCTGGGGCACTCAGGGAAGCATGTGCTCTGTGCCAGCGAGCCCTCCTGCTCAGCAGCTCTGGGAAGTGCCACTGACCACCCAGGATGGGGCAGAGAGAAGGCCCATGGGACACACATGTTGTCTGTGTCCCCATGACCAGGAGCCCCTGAGGGCAAGGGCGAGGCTGGTCTTCACAACCTAGCAGGGGCTCAGCAAACATTTGCTGTGTCTTACTGGTGCAGGCACTGATGCAGAGTGCCTGGGGGAAGTGAGAGGGCCTGGGAAGGAGCCATCAAAGGAGGCAGCTGGGTCCCATGCAGCTGCCACCCATGCCTACTGCCTGAGAGGACTGGGGGTCCTGGCACTGTGCTGCCACAGGGCTCAGAGGCCCTCTTCATGCCATGGCCAAAGGGGGGCAAGGCAGCCCACAGCTGAGCCTGGCAGGCAGGTGGCTGGACCCTGGGGAACCTCAGCATAGATGGGGTGGAGGTGGCAGTTTGCTGAGTGCACAGTGAGGGGCCTGGCCCAGGTGAGCAGGTGGGAGTACGCCCAACAGGGAGGAGAAAGCCAGGGCACCCGCTCCCATTCTTTAGGTTCTCTTCTCACTCTCTTCGTAATGTCCTGGATGCACAAAAGTTTTAGTTTTGAAGAGTCCAATTTATCTATTTTTCACTTGTTGCTCATACTTTTGGTGTCGAATCTAAGAAGCCATTGCCAAGTCTGAGAAGATGAAGACTACCTCCTGTTCTCCAGAGAAACAACCCAGGGGAAGTGTGCGTGTGCGCACATCTACCTACCTGTCTGCAGAGGAAGGAGGTACTTATTTTAAGGAACTGGCTCACATGACTGTGGAGCTGGCAAGTTTAAAATCTGCAGAGCAGGCCAGCATGCCGGAGACCCCGGGAGGAGTTGATACTGTAGCTTGAGTCCAAACACAGTCTGGAGGTAGAATTCCCTCTTCCGTGGGGACCTCAGTCTGTTTTCTCATAAGCCTTCCACTGATCAGATAAGACCCACCCATGTTATGGACAGCAAACTACATTACTCAGAGTCTGCTGATCTAAATGTTAATCTCATCCTTAAAATGCCTAACAGCAACATCCAAACAGGTGTCTGACCAAATATCTGGCAGACACACAAAATTAATCATCACAAGGTCCAACTTCATTCTTCCACATGTGGTTCTAGTTGTCCCAGCATCATTTGCAAAAGAGACTGTTCCTTCCTCATTGACCTGTCTTGGCACCCTGTTAAAAAGCAACTGGCTATAGGTATTTGGGTTTATTTCTGGCCTCTTTATTTTATTCCACTGGTCTGTCCTTATGATAGTACCACACTTGATCACCATAGCACTGCAGTACATTCTGAAATCAGGATGTATGAGTCCTCAGTTTTGTTTTTCAGTACTGTTTTTGGCTCATCAAGGTCCACTGCATCTCCATATAAATTTGAGGGTCATCTCCTCCATTTCTGCAAAAGAAAGCCAGTGGAGTTTTTTTGTTTTGTTTTGTTTTGTTTTGTTCTTCTTTTTTTCTTTTTCTTTTTCTTTTTCTTTTTTTGTTTTGTTTTTTTCTTCCCAGTGGAGTTTTGACAGTGAATGTATTGAATCTGTAATTCACTTTGGGTAGTATTTCAATCTACCCGTGGGATGTTTTTTCATTTATTTAGGTCTTTAATTTTTTCAGGAATGCTTGTAGTTTTCAGTGTACAGGTCTTTCACCTCTTTGGTTAAATTTATTCCTAGGTACTCTATTCTTTTGAATGTTATTATAAATCTCTTCTTTAAAATAACATTTAATTACACACAATGGAATGTTAGCCTTAAAAAGGGAGGAAATTCTGCTACATGTTACAACATCAATGAATCTTGAAAACATGTTACATGAATTAAGCCAGATAGAAAATGACAAAATTGTATGATTCCACTTACATGAAAGACCTAGAATAGTCAAATTCAAAGAGAGTAGAATGGTGGTTCCCAAGGGCTGGGGGAGTGAAGAATGGGACATTGGTGTTAAATGGGGACAGAGTATCAGCTTAGAATGATGGAAGGTTCTGCAGAGGGATTGTGGGAACAGCTGCACAGCAATATAACTGCACTCAGTGCCACTGATGTCCATTCAAAAAGGGCTAAAATGGTAAGTTTTATGTTATGTATATTTTATAATAAAAAATTAACATTTATTGCTTTGATACCTGTTTACAAAAGTTTTACCTATCATGTTAAGAAATTTTGTGAAGTGGAGACATACCTTCTGGAAGCAATCTTTTGTATTCAGTACACTAGGAATGTTTTCCATAGCATTTAGGATTCTTCTCCAACATTTAAATGGCTGGCATAGTGTTTTTAAACAATCCCTTAATTCTGGATATCCACCCCTACCCCAGATTTTGATGATTAAGAGTAATATGCCAGTAAAAATCTTTGTAAACACTCTTGTGACCGCTCAGATCAATACAACAAAATTCTGCAAAAGTTCACTGTGCTGAACTAATGACTTGTGAGCAATTGAAGGGGTCAGCATTCTGCCCCGTGGTGCTTATAGCTAGTGAAGGATTTGTGAAAATAACACAAATCCCATTTACATGAAATACTCCGAATAGAAGATCTACAGAAACAGATTCATGGGTGCTTGGGGCTGGAGAGGGGTGATTACAGGGGGTGGAGGGGACAGTGGAGATTAAGGGTTGACAAACTGCCCCATAGTGGGTGAGTCATGTGGTATGCTCTGCACTGTCCAGTCCCACAGCCTGTCTCCTCACCTGTGATGGGCTGGTAATGCCACCTGGGAGGGCACCACTGCCCGCCAGCACAGGGCCTGGCATAGCACCCTTAATGTCACACGACTGTTTTATATTATTGTATTTACCAGTTGGAAAGGGTCTGGAGCTCCTGGGGGTGCGTGGAGCAGCAGACAGGCCCCAGATCCTCTGTTCTAAGCACCCCGTGTGTCACCTGGGGGCCCAGGTCACCCATGTCACAAAGACACGATCTTACTAGGCAAGAAACGCAGGCTAAGGGGTCTTCACTCCCACACAAGCACAGGGATTCCCTGGGCTTTCAGCCCAGCCTCGGTCCCTCTACACACGCTGCCTGCCTGCCCAGAATGTACCCCATGCCACAGTCCTGGGTACCCCCTCTGCTTCAGAAGTTTTGCTGCAGGGCCCTGGGGAGCCTCTCCTTCATCCTCTGGTCTTGCACACCCCAGAGGTCCCTGCACCTAGCCCCATTTTCCCCCCAAGCATCTGGAACATTCCACAGCAACTGCTTGTCTTACCTACCTGCACACCTCCCTTGTGGGCGTCATGGGGTCCCTGGGGACAAGCACAGGGCCAAGTACACAGCAGGTGCTCAACACATGCCCGGTGGGTGCATACAGGAAGGAGCAGGTCCCGGGACCCACCCTGTCTGGCCCAGAGTGGCTGCTGTGGACAAATGAGGGAAGAGGGAGCCGTGGGCAGCCAGGCCTGGGCAGGGGTCCTGCAGGGACCCAGTGGGTGACACTGATGGGCAGCTCTGGAAACAGCTACTGAGCTCTACTGCTCCTTCCAGAAGGCTGGAGGATCCTGAGCACAGCCTGGCACGAATCCAAGACCTGCTTCTGAGGGAGGCTGGCCAGCTGGCTGCCTGCAGCTGCCTCCTGCACCAGCCGAGCCGCTCTGGGGCCAACTCTGGGTTCTGGCTCTGCTCCCACTGCCTCTTCACGGCCACTGCAGGCCCCGCCTTCCTCACATCCTCAGGGATCCCACAGTGCCGTCTGTAGGCCTCCCTCCTTCCAGCCTGAGCCCAAGGGGACCCGTGTGCCGCCATCAGGAGGGAACCGCAGGGGCAAAGGCTCTGCCCACAGGCACTTGCTAGCCTTCCCGAGACAAGGGGACGGAAGAGCCAAAGTTCAGATGCTGGCGGGGCAGCGGTGAGTCTGCAAACGGCACAGTGACACCAGCCCAGGACAAGTGGCCTTGGGAGGACAACTCACTAAGGTCAGAAAGGCTGAGACCACTGTCCTGCAGCCACCCGGACCCAGGCCCCGTGCTGACCGTCATGGGGAGGCTGGTAAGACTGAGCAGACCCAGCCTTGAGTGTGAAGATCTGGAACATTGCGCTCAGTCTGTCTCATGTGTGCCTTTATTTTAAACTGCCTACGAGAGCCCCCAGGCATCCCGTGAGGTTCAGAACAGCTTCCCTCTAGGATGGTGTGAGTCCCCCACACCCTGAGACTCAGGCACTGCCTGGCCCACCCTGGTGCTTGCTGAGCACCTGCCCAGGGACGGCGGGGGCAGGTGATGCAGGCAGGGCAGCGAGCACCCAAACGGCCACCCCTTGCACTTCAGGGCTATCCCGAGGAAAGCTGCCGAGTCACATGGGCCTGGCCACATCCAGACTCAGGCTGACCGGCCAGCCACAGGGCGCCTGCCATGGAGCTCTGGAGAGAAGCCCGGCCAGGGCAGGTCTTCCGCCTCCCAACTGCATCCCACAGAGGAGCAGGGTGAGCTCGGCTCTCGCAGGAAGGCTTACAGACCCCTGGCCCAGGCCTGCCCTGAACAAAGCCTTTACTATTTTGTCTTTTAAACAAAGGACCAAAAATGCTCATCATTTTCTTCAAGATGAGTTGGCTGTAGAGAGGCATTTGCCTGGAAAGAAAACGATGTAATGAATCGTGTGGCCCCCATCCAAGGGCCCTTTAGCCCAGGTCACCTCAGCTGGGCCCTGGGGACATCTGTCCCCCGCCACCTCCTCTGTCAGGTGAAGGGAGGGTCTCAGACCCTCGGTGTGATATGACCCACCCCAATTTTCCCTAAATTTGCAAACTTAGGACAAAGCTAGCTCCTCGGGTGGAGAGGACACTAAAGGAATGGGCCTGGAACCCTCCGAAGCCCACCCTCGAGACCTCCCAGGGCAGGCCGCTCCGGGGATACAGTGAGGCAGGGAGGAGCCAGGCAGGGGTCAGTGCTGCTGTGGCCGGCCCCTCTCAGCCCAGCCCACCGCCCCACCTTCCCCAACACCGGCCTCTTGGACACGTAGGCCCCTGGCCTCGGGGCAGAGGCAGACGCTTCTGGACTGCCCCCCTCATGCAGAGCCTGACGTGCCCGGCTCCATGCAGTTGTCCCAGAAGCCGGCCCCATCTACTGCACCCCACTGCCCCCCACCACACCCACCACAGTGCCCCCATCTTCCAAGGGAGGGGGTCCTGTATTCATCCTCAGCCGGTTTTCCTGCAGCCTCTGTGGGGCCTCTCCACAGTCTGTGCTGGACCAGTCCCAGCCTGTGTGTCCACTCCACACACTCCCAGGACACTTCACGATGTCCACATCCACAACCAGCCCGTCCTGAGTACTCCTGTCCTGTGCTCTGTGCCATCCGTGACTGCAGCCCACAGGTCCCCCAGGCTGCAGGCCCCAGGCATCTGGGGAGGGCTCCTGCCCCGACGCAGCCAGGCTCCCTCGCCTGGCGGAGGGAAGGCCAATCCTTGCCTAGGAGATGGGGCGTGGCTGAGCCTAGGCTCTGACCTTGGCCCTAACGGCAGGTGACCAAGTGCTTCCTGCCTCCGTGTACTTACAGTCTAACCCTGCGTGCCACCCTGACATCTTTGAGCTTGCAAGACCCCAAAGGTCTAACCCTGAGCTCTCTGCTCTGGCCAGATATGCACCCCACTCAGTGAAAGGCCCACCTCAGGCATGCCCCTGTCAGCCAGACCAGCTGCACCCTCCTGGTCCTCACCTAACCGGTTTCACCTGCCTGCCAGCCACGGGCTGTCTCCAACGCGCCCATCTCCCCTGCGGGACCCAGGGGCAGCCCACCCTCCTTACTGTACAGCCAAGCACACTGCTCCCGTGGGCACCCCACTTGGCCCTGCGTGGAGGGCAGCCCTCTTGCCCTGGGCTGCAACTGTACGTGAGTGTTGATCTCACCTTTCCAGTAGCAGGTGCTGGGTATCCGGTCATCTCGTACTGTTTGGGGGATCCCGCCATCACCCACAGGGTGAATGGGGGGCACTCGGAACACCTGGCTCCTCGTCTGCAGAGGGACGACAGCAGGGCTGCGTGGTGGCTGCTCTGGGGAGGCTGAACAGCCACCCGTCGGGGGCACAAGTGCCACCTATCAACACCCACCTCCAGACTTGACAATCTTGCCACGTTTTCTGCAAAATGACTGTCCCAGGCGGGAGGAACACTCACCACACGATGGCCAACCGGGGTATGGTGAACATGAGAGCCGGCTCATAGTCATCAATCATGTCCTGGGTCAGGTATCCGAAGCCCAAGGCCCTGGCCGAGGGAGAGAGTGAGAAGGGGCAAGTCAGCCAGGGGCCAGGGAGGCAGCCAGCTCAACCCTCACCCACACCTGTGCTCAGCCACGGGGCCATGGCCAGTCAGGAGGGCAACACGTGCCACCCTCAGCTTCCCACACGCAAAAGGCCGCTGCCATCAACCACTGCTGTGCCCTGCTCTGGAAGGCCCAGGCAGAGGGGGCTTGTGCTCGCCCTCCCTGTACCCTGCCTCCAGGACAGAGGAAGCAGGGAGTGCGGGACAGCTGTGCTCGCTGAGATGTCCAGCAAACAAAACGCAGAAGTTAATCAGTCCCAGGCCGACCAGGAAATGGAGACACATCAGGTGGCCAGTGAGCACGGAGCAGAAGCCTCGCCAGACAACCAGTACTTTCCTGAGGGGCTGGCAGTGCTCTCCTGGGTGCATCTTCACGCCCCAGCTTGTACACACGGCTCTGGACACTCTGTGAGCAACCTGCTGGCATCATGCTGGGTCCAGATAAAGGGTGCTTTCTGTCATCCTGTTTTTTGGTGATTTGCAATATCTCTCAATGCATACACACTGAATAATCTGTCTTTTAAAAATAACAATCACAAGGTCTCTTCCTCTATCTGGTGAGCTTCACCTGCAAGATCCACCCTCTTGACCTAGAGAAAAGGGTCAGAGGGGCTGGGGAGTGAAGCCTCTGTGATTTCCTACAGTGGATGGTGGAGGAAGGGTGCCTCGTGGGGTGGGGGCTGGTGTTTTCCTGCCTCAGGCATCCCCAGAAGAGGCAGGTCCCCTGGCCACCCCTGCTCCCAGCACTGCCTCACCCAGTGTAGAGAGGGTTCAGCTGGTCAGGGGTGGCCTCACCTCTCCACTGTCTCACAGAATAGCACGATGACTTCCTGCTGCACGTAGTACTCCCTGGGGGACTTCACAGGCACCATGGCCGACACGTAGCTGCAAAGACAGCGAGGCAAGTGAGGGCTGCCCAGGGCCACCCGTGCGTCTCTGCGAAAAGTGGGGTATCTCAAATGGAAAAAGCACATTAGCTTCATAAACACACAATGCCCAGCATTACCATTCCCACTATAGTCAGAGCTCCTCTCAGGGGCACGCCTAGCCCGTGGCCTCCTCAGGCCCCACAGCCCTGCCCATCTGCCCTGCCTGCCCTGGAGCCAGTGCTGCCCGCCTCTGCGGGCCCATGGCAAGGGACGGGGCCCTAGCATCTCTGCTGACTGGATGGGAGACAGGGACATGTGTCCAGCCACTCCCCAGGTGGGGGTACTTTTCTTTCCTCTATATCACTAACTCCAATTTTTTCTCTTTATGAAAGCTTATTTACAAATCTGGGGAAGACAGAAAAAGAGACAGAGGAAATAAAATACAACTGTCTACAGTACCATGTCCTAAAGACAAGAGCTCAGCAGGTCACAAGATGGGCAATTTTTACTAACAGGACCATTGGGGAAGTGGACTACGGGTTCTGCTTTTCTAGCCTACCATTGGCATCCCCATGTCTGCAAGCCCACAGGGTGCCTGCCCACCCCAGCCTGAGCCACAGTGAGGCCCTTTCTGTACAGGTCCCTGGGCCTGCCTCTGTCCTCAGCAGTTCAGGCTGGAGGGGCAGCTGGCGAGTGGCGGCTGTGGGTGGAGGGTCTGAACAGCACAGGGGTGGGCAGGCTCTGCCTCTTGAAGGGGCAGCATCAGATGAGCAGTGGGGCGGAGGGGCAGGCACAGAGTGTGACAGCAAGTGAGGTGGCTGCGTGATCCACGCCGACTGCTCTAACCTGGGGAGGATGTCACCTCATCCCACACAGCTGGGGTGGCCCAGCGGGCCCCCCCAAGTAACAGCTGCTTCGAGAAGCGGAGCTGGGGCCCCCGTGGGGTGAGTGGGGGTGGTAGAAACATCTCCTTCATCCCTGGGTCACCGCTGCTTGTACCCCTCCCTGCACAGCTTCCCGGGTCCGACTACCCTGGCGCCTGCCTCTAGTCCCCCAGGGGTTAGCCACACCACTGGCCCTTGAACTGCTGTGGCTCTGCCTCTGCAGAAGTGCCCCCAGGCTGACAGCAAAGGCCAAAGGCCTCAGAGCCCAGAGCACACGTGGGGCCCCAGGGTCACCTCAGCTCGAACTCGGCAAACAGGACGTCGAAGTGCCTCAGTGCCTCCCGCATCTTCTCCGTGTAGGTGCTCAGATCCCGCAGTGCCTGGTCGCGGAGGGCGCCCCGCACATCCTCCAGGCTGCGGGTCAGCTCCTTGGCCAGTGGGCGCATGGCCATGCTCTCCAGCTCGCGGTTCATGATGATGGAGCCGGCGGCCAGGCACTGCGGACATCAGAGTGCCGGTCAAGGGAGGCAGGTAGGCGGACAGTTCACAGATGTGGGCATCACAGCTGGTCCCTGGGCCTGAGGTCCTCCAAGCCTGACGTCCCTATGGAGCCTGGCAACCCCAAGCGTCATGGTCCCCATGGAACCTGACATCCCCAGACCATGATGTTCCCCAGGCATGGGCTCATCTGCCCCCTCCCCATGCTCTGCTCCACACACACATCTGGCCGCTCATCCCCAGCACTGCAGAGAGCAGGGACTGGAACACATCTCACCAACCTTGGCAAGGCCCCACCCCCATGAGAGGAGGGGATCCCCAAAGCCAGTCAGACACGGCACAGGAAGGCAGAAGGCAGACCCGGGACCATGCTCTGGCATGAGCACCATCCCTGAGCTCCCTCCCCCAGCTCTGCTCTCCAGGGAGCCCCACCCCACCATGTCTTCTCTCTCTGGGGCAGGCATCTTAAGGACACATGCCTGCTCCCTCCAGGTTTCTGAGATCCAGAACAATCGTGGCTCGGGGGCTCTATGTAGTCCTCACACAGACCCCAAGACAGAGAGGGGGAGCCCAACTGAGACCTCAGGCTTGGGGACTCCATGCAGGGACCCCAGGTCATGGAATTCCTGTCACCTCCCTGCACAGCCCACATGAAGGCGGGGAGCCCAAGAGCCCATCAGATGCCACCTTCGTACTCCAGGCACACAGCACGTGGGGTCGGCAGTCCCTGAGACTGCCAAGCCTTCCAGGAAGTAAAGTCACCCCGTGTCCACAGTCACTGCTTAGGGAACCCTGCCCATCCCCTGAAACGGAGATTCATCAGCATGAGAGTCCTGCTCCTGGGTGGTAAGGGGGACCCTCCATGCCCACAAGTCCACCCACACCCGCCCCAGCTCTGGGAGGCAGTTCCAGGGCATGCAAGGAGTGCATGGGTCCCCCAGGCTTGTCCCTCATGCCCATAACATGGGGTGCTCCTCAGGCCTGCTTCCTGGATGAGGGGTGGCACACGCCATCCCCACTGGGGACTGTGGTGATGTGGGGCTCCCCAGCCACCTGAGGCCAGCTGTTTCACCAGGTTTGGGCCGTGACTGGCAAGCAGCTCACAGCCAGAGAAGGGGGCTAGAAGTAGTTTCCTGGGGGACAGAGGGGAAGGGTTGCTCATTTCCCAGCCCCCCCTTGGATGGGGGCAAGGAGATGGCCAGCAGTGGGACCCTGCACCCTGAGTGCCCATGTGCCCCAGCAGGAACTGGACCTGCATCATGTCATGGTGCCACAGCTGCCCCTGCCCAGGGACCCACTTTGCAGATGCAAACACCAAGTCTGGGAGGAGAGGCAGGAAGCATGGGGCCCCCCAACTCCAACCAGGGCTGTGGAGAGGATGCCCCCCAGGCAGTCCTGAGGAGCAGGTGTGGGGGGTGAAATGGGGGCACAACATCAGGCTGAGAGCCTCACAACCCTCATGTCCCAAGAGCACAGCCGAGGTGGGGCTCGGGGGGCTCAGGAAGCCCACCAGCTCATGGTGTCCTTGCTGGGGGATGGACACCAGGGCCTGCGGGGCGGGTGGTGGCACCCGTGTGGCCCTGGGGCCAGAACGAACATTCCTGTTGGGGGAAGAGGAAGTGCTCTCCTAATAGTATTATTTCAATTAAGAACCAACTTCAGGTCTTAATGTCTGGGGGTCTGAGAATCTAATAGATATCACGTATCTATATTTGCTAGTGTAGTTTGGGGGGCATATGGCCTAACGGGCTCAGAATGGTGCCATCCACAACCTGTGGGGGGTGGGGCCCTCGGGGGGGACACACTGAGTCTTTGGATGTGCAGGGGCACACAGGTGAGGTCAGAGAGAAGCGGCTGAATAGCGCCCAGACCGCGACCCAGACCCAGGCAACTGTCCGCTACCTCGGCGCCAAACCACAGCTGGCCGGCCAGGTTGTCGTGTCGGATCTCCTCAGGGAACTTGACACAAAAATCCCGTGGGGCTCGGTCCTGGGGAATGCACACATCCATGATCTGGTTAATCACGTTTAACACGTTGTCCTGAAACAGAAACATGGAAAGTGCGCTAAAACACAGCTCTCGAGGGTGGCTGTCAGGTACCGCTCAGAAGATGCAGAGAACACACGAGGCATTTTCTTGCTCCTCAAGACTGAAAGCAATACGGTCACACATGGTGCCTGAGGGACAAGCCCTACAAAAGGCACAAACGCTCCAGACGTGTGTGGGTAAGGCTGAAAGCCCTGCCTCCTGTACCCTCGCAGGGCTCCTCATGTAGACTTACCAGGAGCTCTGGCCCCTGCTCACCGCCCTGCCGTATCCTCTGCTCACTTAGTGATGCCCAGGGAGCTCTGCTCTCCCACAGGACTTGCCCTTTGTGACCTCTGACCGCACACCTTACCCCCCTGGGCTGGACAGCACCTCCCACCCCCCACCCTGGGCTGGACCGCATGCCCTGCCCCGCCTGCTGACCCACATCCAAGCTCCCTGCGGTTGCACTCGCAGTGGCTGATCTGAGCTTCTCCCTGTCTGAACATTGGTACATGAATGTCTCAGGATAGAGCTCCACATATGGAATTGCTAGGCGGACAGACACACAAAGCTTGACAGATACAAACAAAAAGTTGATTTTCTCTACCAACTTGCTGTTTGCTTTTATTACTGTTACAAGCCTGTGTCATTCTGGGTTTGTTCTCAACACAGTGAGGCAAGACCGCTCAGGGACCACAGGGACAGTACGGAAAAGCAGCCTCAACCTGCCCACAGAGTGGACTCCGAGGCCCGTCCCGTGTGAGTAAGGGCGACTGCAGGAGCCAGGGGCAAGCAGACTTCCAGAAGCGGAGCACCCAGGCAGCCTCAGAACTCCTGCAGAGTGAGCAGGCGAGCACATGGGCCCCACTGCCCCTCCTCCAGGCATCATCCCCTCCTGCATCCCCTGGAACCAACCCTTCAACCACAGCAATAGTAAGTCAGCTGCAGGAAAGAGGTACCAGCACTGGGCTCCTCCCACCAGAGACCCTGACTCTGGCTGGGTAACCTGGGGAGGCCGCTTAACTTCTCTGATCCACTGGGCTGCGTATGAAAGGGAGACCATGACCCCCAGGCTGCTAGAAGCACCGTGTGAGCTAGTTTGTAAATGCTTGGCTCTGCTCTGGCCCACAGCAAGCCTCAATACATGGTAACTTTTGTTTTAAAGACTCTTTAAAGTTATTTTACTCAATTCTTTCATGTTTAAAATGTATACATGAGAGGAATGTACTTGTTTTATTGCATCTTAAATCACATTCCATTCTTTCCTTACAATTGTCCTGTTCTTTAAATATCTGCCATTCATTCTGTAGAATTACAGGAATGTTGAAAGCTTAGTTTTTTAATTTAATTTGTTAAAGATAAATGCACATTCATCACAAGAAAATGGAAACAGTGGAAAGTACATAAGCAGGGAGAAAGTCCTTGGGGAGAAAACTCCAGGTTGGGTACATTCCCTTTTCCTTCTTGGCCTCCGGGGCCGGGTTTCCATCAGAGTTGAGATCATCCTGGGACAGAGCAACACAAGATTCCAGCCCGGGGACCGTCCTATTAACCCGCTGCCTCCTCTGCTGGACATTTCATGTCGTTTCTGATTCTCCACCATGAATAATGCTGCCATCACCACTGTGGTGCACCACACTCCGAATTTTGAGTTATTTCCCTAGGATCCACTCAATTCCAAAAGTGGAATTACAAAGTCAAGTGTAAACCTTATTTACAGGCTCTGAAGTCAATCTGCCGAACTGATTTCCAGGAAGATCGCACCGACACTCTCACCCTCGCTGATTTTAAACCTCAGCATCCTCCCTTCTGCCCTCTGAGACTGGAGTTTCACTTTTCTTAGGAAAGATAAAAAAATCAGCATGAGTGGGAAGTACGACCCAATGCGAAGAGTCAGTGCACTAAACTCTGAAGGAAATTCTGCTCTGTAAGGAAAATATTGAGCCTCTACACACAAAAAATAAAAATAAAATTCGACCAATATCAAGTAGTACCACTGTGAGTTCTTACATGGTTTTCTGGGAGGGAAGGCCACTTTCTCATGATTCAACAAACTAATGAACAAATAATAGCTGTTCCAATGGTGCAAATGTCAGCAAGTATTAGGAGCCAAGGACCTGAACTTGGCATGGTGGCAGGGCTCACCCACAGCTGTGTGACCTCTTCGCAGCAGTGCTGGGACCCACTCCCCTCCTGTCTGGCCTGCTGGAACCTCGGCTGCCTGAGGGTGAGGACAGGGTCCTTCTTATTCACTGATGGCTCCCTGTGCCTAGAGCACAAATGTACCTCCGTGAACATTTGCTGGGACTTCTGATTACAAGCCAGATGGAGTTAAAGGAGACAAATTTACCCCTGCAAACAATAACAGCAGTAATGGGAAAGCGGAAAAAGTAAGACAATGGTTCTCGAGACACTGCACATCACTGGCAACAAAGGGCCCCTGGGAGAAGAGAGACAACCCAGGTGAGGATGACAGCCCTGGCTCCCCGTAGGCCAGGGCCCGGAGAGGGAACTCGGTGGCACCCAGCCAACTCCCAGCCAGGAGGCCAGGAAAACCAAGGCAGCCAGAACCCAGAGAGGCAACCCTGGAGATCTGGGAAAGGCCCCCAAGTACTCGGCGGGGAACTGGTTACCACATGCCTGTGAACACCTGAAGAGCTTCGGGGGGCAGTGAGCAGAGCCCTTACAGAGCTCGGATCACGGGAAAGCGCCTCGCTCATGGGGCATTGGGTAGAGTACCTAAAAGCGTCCTGCCTCAGCGGCACAGGATGCTCACTTCCCGCCCAAACACAGCTCCAATCTCGCCCAACATCATAAAAAACAGGATCCAAAAGGTTCAAACTATTTCTAAGTAACCAAACTGCATCATAAAATGAAATTCAAAACATTTATAGGAATACAAAAGCATTCGGCTCCCGGCAAGGTAAAATTCACAGTATCAGGCATCCAATAAAAAACTACCAGGCTTGCAAAGAATTAAGAAAATATGACATGATGAAAAGAAAAAGCAGCCAGTCAGAATCCACCCACCCGAGACAGACAGCAGGCCGAGCGGCCAGGGGACCTCGGGGCAGCTGCTGCGACTGGCCTCCATGTGCTCAAGAAGCTAAGTGGAGACAAAGAAGAAATAAAAAGGACACAAACTGATCTAGAGATGAAAATCACAGTATCCAAGATGAAAAAAACAAAATAGTTGGATGGGATTAACCTCAGATCAGACATTTCAGAAGAAAGGAACAATAAAGTTGAGACATAGCGAATGAAACTCTAAATGAATCAGAGAGAAAATCATCATCATGATACAACAGATTATAACAGAACAGACCGGTGAGCTGTTGGACAACTTCCAGAGACCAAATACATCTATAATTCAAGACCCAAAAGGAGGGGGAATGGGACAGAAAAAATATTTGAAGGAATATGGCCAAATTTGGAAAAAAATTTATTAACAAACTATAAACTCAAGACCAAGAAGTTCAGTAAACCCTAAGCACAACACACATGAAGATAACTATGTCAAGTCACGCAAAACCAAACTGATTTTCAAAACTAATAAAAAGAGAAAACCTTACAAGGAGAAAGAGAAAAAAGACATGTTATAGCCACGGAACAAATAAAAGGTTGGCATTCAATTTATCACCAGGAACCATGCAAGCGAGAAGGCTGGAACAACATCCTCAATGCGCTGAGGCGGCGGTGTCACCGACAGCTGACAGCTCTAAGGGCAGCAAAAGTATCTGCCAATTTCGAAGGTAAAAATACTTTTTCATTCTAAGAAAGGCTGAAAGAATTCATGCCCAGCAGACCTGCATTTCAAGAAATGGTAAAGAAAGTCCTTCTGGGAAGGAAAATGACAGCAGATGGAAATAGAGACCTTCACCAAACAACAGAGCACCAGGAAGGGCGGCTGCCTGGGAAATACACAAGATCTTCATTTTACTATGTAATGTCCTTTAAAAAAATGGGCCATTTAAACAAAAACACTGGCAATATAGTGTGAGTCCATGTAAAACATATGGTAAGAGCAACTTAAGTCTCCTTTGCAGAGGTGCCAGGCCGCTTGGTGCGTGGTCCAAGAGCCTTACAATGGTTTACTCCCATCTCCTCCTGCATCAGCTGTTACTGGGGCAACTGCTGGCTGAGGGGCAGGAGATAATGAAAATGCTTAATGGAAAATCCAAGCAATATAATTTACCATACCAACAAACCAAAAGGGAAGAAAAGCACACAATAATCTCAACAGACATGGAGTTGGCACTTGAAAGCAGTATGACATCCATTCCTGATGACACTAGACAGGCTGTGAGGAGAGGTGGGTGCCTCGGGTGGTAGAGGGCACCCAGAAACCCCCGCAAGGGCTGACAGGGTGCTCAGTGGTGAGAACTGAATCCTCTCCCCCAGATTCATCTACAGATTCAATGTGATTCCAATCAAAATCCCAGCAGGATTTTCTGCAGACCTCTAGATAGTTTTTAAATTTCATATGAAAATGCAAAAAACTTACAACAGCCACAGCTTTGGAATAGAAGAACAAAGTCGTAGATCTGACGCGGTCTGACTTTGACTTATTATAAGGCTACAGTAATCAGGAGAGTGTGGTATTGGCCTCAAGACAGATCAGTGAAACATAATGGAGAGCCCAGGGATAGACCCACACATATGGACACCAGGTTCTTAATAAAGGTCAATAACAGTGTAGCACAGAAAGACCAGTCTTTTTAGTGAGAAAGGATAGTCTTTCTAACACATGATACTGTAACAACTGAAAATTCATTTGCAAAAAAAGAATGTTGGTCCAGTCCTCACACTGTTACACTAAAGTTAAGTTGGTATGGATAGCAGACCTAAATGTAACACCTAAAACTATAGAACTTCTAAAAGAAAACACAGGAGAGAAAATCTGATGACCTTAGTTAGGACATATTTCTTCAATATGGCACCAAAAGCACAACTTGGAAAAGAAAAAATAGATGAACTGGGCTTCACAAAAATTTAAAACTTGTGCTCTTCAAAAAACTAAGAGAATAAAAAGACAAGACACAGATTGGGTGAAAATATTTGCAAATCATAATCTTACAAGGGCTGGTGTCCAGAATATATAAAAAACTCTCAACAGTCAATAAGAAAATAAGCAATTCAACTATTCCAACAAGCTCCCACACAAGGAGACCCTCTGCTGTGCTGAGCCCTCCCTGCTTCACCAAGAGGCCAGTCAGCAGTCCAGGTTGCCAGCCTCATTCTTTCCTGGGCCACAGCTCTTGATGTGCCAAATGCAGACATCTGGTCACACCCACAGCCAGGTGCAGACCGCAGCAGACAGGAGGCTAGTATCTGCAGTCAGGGTGCACTGGGGACCCTTCTGCCCCCTGAGAGCCCACCTGGGTATCAGTGCCTTCCAGCATGGGGAGGGTCAGGGGTGTCCCTCGCCAGCTGTGGCCAGCCTCACATGGGACACAGAAAATCATCACATCACAGACCTACAGCAATGTGCACCGACGCCCACTGTGACCCTGTTAACTAGCTACACTTGAGACAAGGCCCACCAGCACATTCTGCTGCTTAATTTTCTCCATGGCAGCACCTAAAATCATACTCCCTTGGTATAAAAAGTTAGGGTATGATTTAGGAAAAAATAGGCCAACGACAGAATCCACCCAGAGCAGCTCCAAGCCTGCCTGCAGCATGGAATCCCAACTGGACCATACCAGTGTCCTGGGGAAGCTGAACAGCACCACAGCCCAGCGGCTGCCAGTGGCTTGCTCCCCTGCAGTCCTGGAGGCCGTGAGTCTGAGGTCAAAGTGTGGGTTGGGCCTCCGAGGCCTCTCTCCTTGGCACGTGGACAACCGTATCCTCCCCTCATCCTCACGTGTTTGTCCTGCTGTGTGTGTCTGTGTCCTGGTCCCTTCGTACAAGGACAGAGGCCAGATTGGGTCAGGACCCACCTAGTGACCTCATTTCACCTTACTCACCCCTGTAAAGGCCCCATCTCCAAACCAGTCACATTCTAAGGTGCACAGGGGTGAAGGTTTCCACACATGGATTTTGGGGGACACATGTCAGTTCATTACAACAATGCAGGATTGATTTCATCCTGCTGGGCTATGATTTCTTAGTCCTTTACAGTTTTCTGAAGCAAGGAAGAAAGCAACACACTTGCAAATGTTCCCCGAAACCCACCTGCATGGTCACTGGCGCTCCCATCCATGTGTTTCCTGAAGTGAAAAGTCATTTATGTGAAAACGACTCACTGGGATCTCTTCTAAATAATATAAGGCCAGCAAAGCTGAACCGCCGCATGATCCTCAGCCCTCTCGGCCTCAACTCCACAGGGCCACAGGGAAAGCCGGGGTCCATGCTGCTCCCAGCATGGTTCTTGGAAGAAGGGAACAGGTGACGGCTGCTTACTGAATGTCTGCCGTGCATCCTGCCTTAGGCTGGAGACTATCTAAACGGCCCCATCTGGGGTGGAAGGGTTCCAAATACCACACCCCAGCGTGGACTGGCTGACACCACGGCCAAGGATAAATTATTGCAGGGCTACACTGCCTGCCTAGGCCTTCAATGCACGAGAAGTCAGTGGAAGGGCAAGAATACTAGCAGGACATAGGGGGTTTGAGGAGGCTCGGGGGCTTGCAGCCCTGTGCCCACCCAGAGCTGGCTGCCCTTCACCTGTTCACCTGAGATCACCTGGGCCTCTGTGGCCGGTAGCTGCAACCTCCACTCCCAAGGGCCACTCTGTGGGGAAAAGCCACTGGCTTCCACACCACCAGTGCCCTGGAAGCTCTACAATGTGGCCCAGTCCTCCTGTCCCCTCATGAGCCAGACAACTAGCCCCACCCCCCGCCAACCGCTGGCTGAGCAAGAAGACGGTCAGGGAGCACTGGGCTCGTTCTGGCCCCGGGACTCTAGTGAGAGAAGTCAGACTTTCCAGCAGGCGGTATGTGGTGAGGCTGCCACACTGAGGACAAGAAGTCTCCCAGCCCAGGACAGGCTCCCTGAACGCACCCCTGCAGCCAAGCCAGAAGGGGTGACCTGAACACAATCGAGAGCCTGCACATGCAGGTGCCTGGCTGGCCCCAGGTACCTCCAGTGGCCTTCCAGCGGCCCTGGAAAGCTGAGCCAGGCCAGGCTGGTACCGCCACACGCTCTCCACAAGAAACCCTATGCTCAGCTGGAGGCTCTGCCAGTATGACGGTACTGGGGAGGCCTGACCAGACAGGAGACTCAGGGACTTGTCACGGGCCAGGGTCGGGCAACAAGACGGTGGGTGAGGGTAGGGGAGGGCTCCAGCTGTCCATGACCGGCCGCCGGCCCCAGTGCTGGGAAGTTGAGTCCTCTGGGTGCTCAGCAAGGGCACCCACACCCTGTGGGGAACTGGCTCTGCCTGCTCAGCCCCTCCCACCACCTCTGAGCCAGCCTCACTGCTGCCACACTGTCCCCCGCCACGCAGAGGCAGACCCTCTTCCAGAGACTACTGTGGAGGGATGAACCATCAAACAAGCCAGCACCCTGGCAGTCAGACAGAAGGTGAAGCCTGTGAAACTCAGAAAAGACAAAATACCCCCTTTCAGAGATGAAAACACTGCCGCACTTGAATGTCTGAGCATTTAGAAGTTCACTGCAGCAGGCATCCCAAGCCACCCAAGGAGGCCAGTGCCTGGCCAGTTAAACAAATGGTCCCATGGTGAGCTGTTATGAAATTACAGTACGTTCAGGAAGACACCTCTCGGCAGAAATTCTAACTCCGTTTTCCTGAATACAGAGTCTGGACCCACGATGCCTCACCACAATTATCTGTTGTGCAGAAAGCAGCGCCCCAGCAGGCCTGACTCCCTTGCAAGGCCTATGCGCAGCGTGGCCCTGGGCTGGCGCCCGGGAACCTGGATGTTGGGCGGGTCCCGGCACCCTCGCTGGGAAGAGTAGCTCCCTCTGCCTCACCTGTTGTGTGGACGGCCCTTTCCTCCCGGGGTCTGGAAGTTGGAACTGGTGCCCCTGGTAGGCAGCCCTCCACATATCATCCAGTGTGCGTCCTGGCGCCTCCACGGGAGAGGACGCTGGAAGCCGGTGCCTGTTTGCTCTGCGCTTCGCCCACGTGCTTCCCCCTTGTCTGGTTCTGCTTTGTGCCCAGTCGCTGTGACCAGCCACAGCCTTGAGAGTCTCTGAGCCCTGGGAGTCCCCCAGCAAGAAGCAGGGTGGTCTGGGGACCCTGACGCAGGTGTCTTTAGAGAGCAGGGAGTAATGAAAGATCCTCATGCACTATACGTGTGTGGGACCCCTCTAGCTTTTCGTGACTAGTCTCTCGATCCTTAAAAGTTGCCTGGCCCACATTCAACTCCGCATCCTTTCTGTGATTTACCGTGCATGTCAAGGCTATCCGACGCACTCGGCTTCATTTTCAGCCCACTTGGTCAGTCTGTAGAACATGGTTCTACAAAGGCCGGTGCACTGGCCTAAGCAGGTCTTGGAGCCATAGCACCAGAGGGGGAGCACACAGGGTGCTGGAGAGGGCCTCCCCTGTGCCAGCGGTCAGTGTTCTCCGGGCACCAGGAAGGATGCCCTCCCTGGGAAAGGAGACCCTCCTGGCCCCCCTAGTCCCCTGGGGAGGGGGGCGCTCCTGGTCCTTCAGAACCAGCCAGGACCTGCTCCTACTGCCCCGTGAAGAATTCTGTAAGAACTTAAGTCCTTATCCAACTACTTGAGGCTGAACATTCAGGGTGGGAATCTGCTTCCCTGCACCCCACCCGCTGTGCCGCCCTGGGAAGCACACCCCCAGCCCCCACCTCCCAGCCTGTAGGCAGAATACACCGAGAACATTCTGGAACTTTGTGAAAGACCCTGTCACTGGACAGAACTATGTTGTGCCACATGCCCCTCGTGCTGGTAAAGCCTCCAGGCCACGCAGTAAACTGAGAGGACATTTTTAGCATTGCTTAAAGGGCCATCTCTGAATTCTGTAGCAAGGGGCAAGCAGGCATTAGCTCTGAGCAGGGCCAGGCAGGCCCATCCCCTTTCCCGTGCTAGCTGCTCCCTGACTGGAGCCTCCTGGCACTTCATGGCCCGGATGCTCCCAACCCCGTGTGCTCTCCAAGGGCATCCTGTGCAGTTAGCTACATCTAACCTGGCTCTTTCCCCATACAGTCCTGCTCAAGGCCGTCCTGCCTCCAGGTTCAGTTTCTGGTGGACCAAGAGGTCCCCAGCTCACCACACCCAGCACCTCATTGGGACCCACACTGAGACGTCCTTGCAGAGTGCTAGCAGGGAACGAAAGCTCAGCCTCACCTGTGAAGGCCCCACTGCACCCACTCACCTGGCAGGAGCGGAACTGGCTGACGAGCAGCGTGCACCGCTGCGGGTCCTTGCGCCCGTCCAGGCTGTCCAGCTCGGCTGCCACCTGGTTCAGCTCCTCGTCCGCATAGTAGAACTGGGCCAGCAGATGTGGGTCTGACCTCTGCAGGGAGGGAGGCATCAGAGTATGAAGGGAAGCAAAGCTGCCCTCAGGCAGGAGGCAGGGAAGTGTTGGGGGAGGCCCAAGGCTGAGAACCCCAAGAGACAGCATCTGGGGGGAAGCCAGATGTCAAGCCCCAGGGGAAAGTGGGGTCCAGAGGCTGCAAGATAAGGGAATCAGTCCTTAGAAAGTATTTTTATCCAAAAAACTAAATGGCAACAATCGACGGCCACTGAACAAGTGGCCCAGACTCACATGACCTGGTGTGCCGCAGTGAGGACAGACAGGGGCTGTGCATAATACAAGGCTGCGACTCCAGGCTTCCTCTGCCCACAGCCCAGTTTCCTGACACCAGGAAATGCCGATGCAGGGAGCATCCTGCTAATATATGGGGGCCTGGTTCTAGGTCTCAAGGGCAGCTACCCACTTAGAGCACACCCCCAGATGCCACTGGCCTGCTCCTGGCCAACTGCTCCCACTCAGCTCCAGCCCCCGTGTTCCACACACCAGCAAGTGCACACCGGCCTCAGGACCTTTGCACTGCCTCCTCTGGCCTGAGAATGAATCATCTTCAAGGTCATACAGAGAAAGACAAACCAATGGGTACCCTTCACCTCAGTTCTATCTGAGAGTCAGCATGCAGCTGCTCATGGCCTGTCTCTCACTATAACTGCAGGACACGTTACTTTCCCAGTCTTGTCTCCCTTTTCTCCCCACTTCTTCCCCTTCCTCTGGCACACAGTCCCTCCCATTTACGTGGCCTGTCCCAGGGTTACCTTTCCTTGGCTCAAGGGTCTTGGTCACTCAGTGCTGACTCTTGGTCAGACATCTAGGCTGGGGAGGAACCCCAAAAGAGGCTGAGTGGACCCTGGGGACACCATGTGATCCAAGCAGGCCAATGGAGGCATACCCAGGACTTCTCTCAGGACAGCGGTGGGCAGGAGAGCAGTTCCTTGCCCCCTTGCCCAGCAAGTGGGCTCTAAGCAGCCCTCAGCCAGGGTGCAGGGCCAGGTGTCACCAGGAACAAGATACACACAGACCCCACCCCGGCATCCCATGTCTCATGCCCTCCCTGGTCGCTCGAGCTGATGTGTCCCCTCCATGGGCTCAGCTGACTTGCCTGGATGACTCCTTGTGAAGACACAGGAGCAAGACTGGGGTGGCGGTTGGGAATGCTGCTTTGCATCTTTCCTGCTTCACCGACTGGGTGGTGTGCGGAGTGCCATGAGCAGCACCACCAGCCACACAGGGACCGTTCCCTCTCAGGGAGGGGGCTGCCTGAGGGGCTGAGGCCACCGTCTGACCATGGACATGTGTGGGATACTGCTCCTGGGGAGCCTGAGAGCTCAGGAGTTGACAGCAGTCACCACAGCCGCTGGCCCCGAACCTACTGGCTCCCCTAAGAGCAGTGGGGATGGAAGGGCAGGGGAAGCAGGGCCCACTGAGGACAGCCCCACAGCAGGCACCTCTCTGTGCCGGGTTCTGGCACAGAGCTGTCCTGGAGCCCTCAGGGTTGACATGTGTCTGTTCCTGCAGCCCTGACTGCTGCTCGCCAACCCACCACTTGGCCCAGCAAATAGGCCAGGGGCTGAATCTAGGGCAATGCATGATGACAGATCCGGGCAGCTAGGTCTCTGCTCTGAGGAAGAGGGCACATGGCAGGGGCCATGCCCAGGCCCATGCAGAGAGTAAGTAGCTACCTGTTTTTGCTTTGGCACCAAAAACCTCACCACAGATGAACAGACCTTGAATCTAAATGTTCACACACCGGCCCAGGTGTTCTAGGCCCCTCTGCTCTTGGCTGTGCAAACCATGGCCAATGGCAGCAGTGAGGATGGGAGGTCTGGGAAAAGCTGACGGTGGCCATGGTGCCAGCTGTCAGGATGACAAAGCCCTGCCACTCATCTGCTCCCATCAGAATCAGACGGCCCCTCAATGGACCTAGGAGGGGACTGAGCCTCAACAGGCTCCCCACACAGCCCTTGGCTCACATGCACGCCCTCCTCTGCATTCCAGAGAGGCTGACAAACAACTACAACATGTGTGCCTGTGGAACCTAGTGGGCAGTGTGTGTGTGTGTCAGGCATGCATGCACAGGTGTGGCTATGTTGTGTGAGTGTGCATGTGCATGCCTGTGTACACATGTAAGTGCATGTGTGCATGTGAGTGTGGACGTGTGTACACAGGTCAGTGAACGTGCAGATGTGTGCACACATTTGCACCTACAAGTGTGTCCTTGTGTTACACCTGTGTGAACGCACATGTGAGGGTGCATTTATGTGTGTGCATGGGTGTGCACAGCTGCATTTGTAAAGGTGTATGCATGTATGTACATGCATGCATGCATAAATGTGTACATGCCTACAAGCGTGCACACGAGTAAAAGAATGTGAGTACACATGTGCAATCTGGGAAAGGGCCTGGGAGGTGGGGAGCTGCCTGACGCTCAGAATGGTGCCCTTGCCACTGTCCCCACCACCCATGCAGTCAAGAGCTCCCTCTGCCCTACGCCCCTCCATTAGGGCCCATTTCAGGCTCGCCTCCCATCTGGAGCCTCCTCTTGGCTTTGGGCATAAGCCAGAGAGATGGTGAGAAGTTAGCCTGGACAGAGGACCGTACACTCTTGATCTCTGACCCCCCAGCTAGGACTCAGGGCCCAACCGGCAACAACATGGAGAACTCAAAAAGGGGAACTGAGAAGGATCAAACAAGATGTGGCATGAGAAGTGAGGCAGAACTCTCCTCTAAAAACCACACATAACACGAAAATGCAGCGAATACAACTAATCCTGAAAGCGACCCAAAAGAATGCTACGACAGACTGCCTACCTCGGGGGAACAGAGAGGCCTCACGGAAAAGGGTAAAGTAGCGAAGCTGTGATCGGGTGGGACTCGAGCCCTTCCCCCACCCCGGCTCACAGGCAGGAGGATGAGAGACAGGGCGGGGAGGGGGTAGCAACCAAGACTGCGGAACACCCAGCCCTGGAGATGTGCTCAGGACATTAGTGGGGTTGGAAAGCAAACACAGGTGGAATACTTGGAAAGAATGAGATTCCAGCCAGTTCTGGAAAACAGGGATCCACAACCGGCCATTCCAGGATGAAAGAAAGGTGGGCACTTTGAAAGACTTCCCAACAGTGAGAGGGCTGCTAAAGGGGCAAGGATTGCACAGAGCTTACTGCTCGAGAGAAAGGACAGGTGGACAAAATTGTCCTGGTGCACTTAGTCCAGCAAGTTCGGAACATTCAGGAGCTTCACGAGTTCCATCCCCCTGACTGGCAACAGAGCACCGAGGCCCCACAATGCAATATGCAGCCTGCTGCTCCTTCCTCCTGGACAGCATTGGTTCATGAATGTGCGGCCCCGCCTACAGCAGCTACAAGTGCATAGCATAGAGGCTCCTCCCTGCATGCGCAGCTCACTGGCCCTGGCAGTGGAGGCAGGTGCTGCAGCTGGGAAGCAGGAAAGAGCTATTTCCTCCTGGCAGCCACTGGCACACACCTGTGACCCCGCCATTGCTCCAGGAGCTGAGCAGCTCCAAGGAGTAGAGTTTCTGGGCACCAGAGGGTGCACCAACACAAAGTTATTATTCCATAGTAATCATTAGCAATATGAAACAGCAAAAGAACCTGGTACAAAACAAAATCCCTCCAACACCAGAAAGATGGCTAAGTGAAATGGAAATCACCAATCTTCTTGATAAAGATTTCAAAATAAAAATAATAAACATGCTCACAGACCTATAGAAAAGTATTCAAGACCTCAGAGAGGACTTCAAAAAAGAAACAGAAACTTTGAAAAATACAGTATCTGAAATGAAACATACAAGGGAGGAATTTAAAAGCAGATTAGATGAGGTAGAGGAAATGGTAAATGAAACAGAAATTAGAGAACAGGAATACAAAGAAGTGGAGGCACAGAGAGAAAAAAGGATCTCTAGGAATGAAAGAATATCAAGAGGACTGTGTGACCAATACAAACGGAACAACATTTTCATTATAGGGTTACCAGAAGAAGGAGAGAAAAAGGGATAGAAAGTCTCTTTGAGGAAATAATTGCTTAAAACTTCCCAATCTGGGGAAGAAAATAGTCTCTCAGGCCATGGCAGTGCACAGATCTCCTAACACAAGGAACCCAAGGAGGACAACATCAAGTCATATAATAATTAAAATGGCAAAGATCAAGGACAAGGACAGAGTATTAAAAGCATCCAGAGAGAGAAAAAGATCACATACAAAGGAAAACCCATCAGGCTATGATCAGACCTCTCAGCAGAAACCTTACAGGCCAGAAGGGAGTGGAATATATTTAATGCAATAAAGCAGAAGGACCTCAAACCAAGAAAACTCTACCCAGCAAGATATCATTTACATTTGAAGCAGGGATTAAAACAATTCCCAGATAAGCAAAAGTTGAGGGAATTTACCTCCCACAAACCATTTCTACAGTGTATGTTGGAGGGACTGCAATAAATGGAAGTGCTTCTAAGCCTAATAGCTATCACCAGAGAAAATAAAACCACAGTAAAGGAAGGAGACCAATTAATTACTAAGCAAATGCAAAATTAAATCAACTACACACAAAGTCAAGGGATACACAAAGAGTACAGAAAATGAAACCTAATATGTAAAGAGTGGAGGAGGAAGAAAAAGAAGGGAGGGAAAAAAAAAGAACCTTAATATTGTGTTTGAAATAGTGTAATAATCAAGTTAAGTTAGACTGTTAGATAGTAAAGAACCTGCACTTGAACCTTGGTAACCATCAATCTAAACCCTGCAATGGCAATAAGTACCTATCTATCCATAATCACCCTAAATGTAAATGGATTGAATGCACCAATCAAAAGACATAGAGTCACTGAATGGATAAAAAAAGAAAGTGTACACACATAAACAGAATCAGAAAAAAAGGAAAAATCATTACAGACACCACAGAAATAAAAAGAATTATTAGAGAATACTAAGAAAAATACTATGCTAATAAGTTGAATAACCTAGAAGAAA